AAATCACACTGTTTTAGGTAAAATATAAAACAGATTTATTAACTGCACAAAGATCGATTTTAAATGATTATAAGTAGTGAGCATTGAGATCAAAGTTGGTTACCTGAGAAATAAAATAAATTCACAGTCTAAGGTCTATAAACTAGACAGGATTTGAATCAAACAGCGTCTCACCCTGACACTACAAGCAGGTCACAGATCTTTCAGACCCTTCAGCCTCTCCTGCACCCTAACCCCCTGCCCCAACCCAGAGCCCGCACCCAAACTCTCTCCCAGAGCTCCTCTTGCACTCCAACGCCTTGCCCCATCCCAGAGCCCGCACCCCAAACTCCCTCCCAGAGCTACTCCTGTACTCCAACCCTCTGCCCCATCCCAGAGCCTGCACCCCAAACTCCCTCCCACAGTCTTGGGCAGGTAGGAGGGAGCGGGACTTGGACCCATTCTGGGCACCACCAAAAATTATACAAACCTGCCGCCCCTGAACGAGATCTATTCCGAGCCTTTGCCTTTGCCAGGGTTATACAGGAATAGTAAGAACACAGGCCTGGTTTTTATTAGAGAAGTAGCACCGTGGTTTGATTGATCTACGTATGCCAGTGCTAATCTCTAAATTAGAAGCTAACTAGTTTAAGCCTCATTTAATTCAGTTTAGTGTAATTTAGTAATTAAGCAATTGGACTTTTAATACTGGTTCCTACTGAGTAACTGTGGGCAAATCACCTAAGCTAGTGATGCTTTTCTTACTCATCTGTAAAATAAAGGTAACAGTATTTTCCCGTGTCTCCGGCCTGTTGAGGCCTAACTAATAATTGTAAACTGACAAGTATGAAGGTTATTCCTAAGGAAGACGTAAGACAAGAACTTGAGTCCTCATGGCCCCAGCCTGTGTTAAGTCCTTGTGGCCGTGTGGACTTTGTTGCTGGCAGATCTCTGCTTTAGCTAAGGTTTGTACCAAGAGGCCAAGCAAGTAGAGCCGGTTGGCAAATTTCGGACAGAACAGTGCTCCATTGGCAAACACTGATCCAACAAAACGGAAAGGTTTTGCAGGATCATATTGGTGGTGGTGACGTCTCTGATGGAGACATTACCCGATTGCTTAGCTTTCACGTTATCCTTTCGATTGCGCTGCTGTCACGCGTTGTTGCTTCTGTAGGCAGAGCAAACTGCATACATCAGGGACTCCCTCTGTTCCCCACCATGAGTTCCCGTGTGCCAGCTTCCCATTCCCCTCTATTTGAGGGGCTCGCTATAACCTCCATTCCTCCCTCATGCCAGGGGTTCTGTGTGCCCCCTCTGCCCCAGGCCCCCCAGGCCAGGAGCTCTGTGGTACCCCCCACTGCCCCCAGCCCCCCATGCCAGGAGCTCTGTGGTACCCCCCACTGCCCCCAGCCCCCCCATGCCAGGATCTCTGTGGTAGCCCCACTGCCCCCAGTCCCCCATGCCAAGAGTTCTGTGGTGCCCCCCCCCATATTATATAACTAATAGAAACTATAATGAAGCATTTGGATGAAGTCCTTTCTAGATTTCTGAAATGACCTTTTGGGGGGAAATTTCCAAGGTTCTACTTTTTGCCCCAAATGGGGAGGAAAAGAAATTTTGAAATGTCAATTTCCCACAGGACGGACATGCTGAGATTCTATTAGCTCTACCTGCAAGTCAAGATCAGCTTACCTACAGCACATGCATTGGTGCATCCATTATAACAATCCCCCATGCAAAGAACATGTGACGATGTTGGGCTTTAAAAGGGATGTCAGAACAATTCTTGACAGACAGATTCTCCCAAAGGAAACAAGGTCAGAGTAACCCAGCATGCAGGGTTGTTCTCAGGAGATGCCTCAGCCGGAGTCCAAGGGAACTGAATGTCAAGACATAACATTATTAAATGAGAGGTTATATAACAAGACTTATAGCGAGGAAGCTCTTTGGTTCTATTAACAAAATCCTGCATTACTGACACAGCCGGTCTCTAAAGAAAACAAGGAATAAAGAAAAGAATGTTTTTATCCTCCCCCTAGCTTAAATCCCCTGCCATTTTGGGATGTGTTTTCCCATACATAACACCATCTCTGGCTGGTAGAACTACAGTTATAAAGCAAGCAAACAAGGGAGTAATCTCTAAAATTACATCACAGAATGTTCAGCCTGATTGTTTTAAAACCTCAGTGGTGTTAGTTACAGCTTTGAACCACCTACATTTTTGTGTCTGAAGAATTTTATTCCGGGGTCAGGAGGGGTTTCTATTACCAAGAGATCATTCCCACATATCAAGCTCTGAGATTTGCTCCTCAAAGGCCCCTGTGCAATAAAGATGGTTAGGAACCAGCTCCCCTGATCCGAATGCCCCCAAACTTTGGGAAAGCTCCTAACGGGACCAAACATTGCCCCTGTCCCCTATTTTTAAAATGGGGACAATACTACTTCCCAGGGTGCTGTGAGGATAAATACATTAAATAGATTGTAAAGCATTTTGAGATCTACTGATGTAAAGCACTTATATAAGAAATAGGCATTATTAATTATTATTTAAGAGTCTCTCTTCATAACCCATAAGGTAGTGTATCAACCTGAAATGGATTTAATTAGAAGTTGGGATGGATTTTCATCACTTTCCTCCTTTCCACTGTTAAAACGCTGAGGTTTTTCTCATGCGATCAGTGGATGTTGGAAATGCCATGTATCACAAATGGAATACTTTTATTCAAAGGGGGGGGGGGAAGGGAAGAGTAAATTTAGGTATAAATATTTAATCCAGCAGTCCCCAAACTTTTGAGAATTGCCCCCCTTACTCATGTCTGCACCCCATGCAGAGCCGGGGCTGGGAGCGGGGCTGTGGCTTCAGGGGGGAAGGATATGTGGACTGGGGTAAGGGAGTGAAGGCTGGGGCCAGGAACAGAGCCGCAGACAGTGGCTGAGGCTGGCGTGGGGCCAGGAGCGGAGCCGCATTGAGTCTGGGGATGGGCCAGGTGCAGGGCTGGGAGCCAGGGATGCAGCTGGGGGTGGGACCAGAGCAGAGCTCGGGGCGGGGAGGGGTGTATGGCACTCCCTCCTCGTCCCCCCATTCCCCTCCCGTGAGGGCTAGCCTGGGCCGCCACGTCCCCCCAGATGTTCATCCACACCCCCCTAGAGGAATGCGCCCCACGCTTTGGGGGCCTCTGATCTAATCTATCGTTTTGATCTCTCACTTGTGATTGTGGCAGTTGAGTGCCTGATGTCAGGGAGAGAATGCTTTGCACTTCCAATACACTTTTCAAGCTGTACTGGACTTCTATGGTGCATCGTCACCTCCACAGTATTGCAACAGGATGGTGATGATGCTTCATCGTGTCGTGGGCCAACATCCTCCCATAAATGTCATGATGGGTTGATGCAGTGTTGTTGTAGCCCTGTCAGCCCCAGGATATTAGAGGAACAAGGTGGGTGATCTTTTATAGGACCAGCTTCTGTTGGTGACAGAGACAAGCTTTTGAAAGTCCAATAAAAGATATAGACTAAAATTGGAATGCTACAGAGAAGATTAGCATGGCCCCTCCCCAAGGATGAAACAGAAATTTGTGAAGTGCTATCACCCTGTGTCTCTATGATGGGTTGATGTCATTTTTGCCTCCAAAGAGCAAATGGGAAAAATGGTGGCCCCTCTTGGTCTTTCCAGCTAAACAGGCCAAATTATGCCTGGCCCTGCATTGGATGCTCAAAAGAGGGAAGAGAGGGCATGCAAGAGTCCCTTATCCTCCAACATACCAGCACATAGGACGTAGGGTTCAGGTGCTGAGGTGTACAGGTGTAGCAAGTCATGCTTTTACACTGGGGATCTCCACAGCTAACAGCATGAGCTGCTGTAGTTTGAACTAGAGAGCCAGGGCTCCTCAGCTGGGCCTGTAACAGACTCCTATCAGATTCATAGATTCCAAGGCCAAAAGGGACCATTGTGATCATCTAGTCTGACCTCCTGCAGAACACGGGCCATAGGACTTCCTGAACTAATTCTAAAGCAGACCTTTCAGAAAAACATCCTATCTTGATTTTAAAATTCTCAGTTATGGAGGACCCACCACATCCCTTGGTAAATTGTTCCAAGGACTGTCAAAAGGTTGTGCCGTATTTTTAGTTTGAGTTTGTCTTGCTTCAACTTGTAGCCATTGGCTCTTGTTAGACCTTTGTCTGCTAAGACCGAAGAGCTAGGGTGACCAGACAGCAAATGTGAAAAATTGGGACGGGGGTGGGGGGTTGATATGAGCCTATATAAGGAAAAGACCCAAAAATCGGGACTGTCCCTATAAAATCGGGACATCTGGTCACCTTGTGAAGAGCCCATCATCAGTTTTTCTTCCCTATGTAGGTACTTAGACTGTGATCAAGTCATCCCTTACTCTTCTTTTTGTAGAACTAAATAAATGGAGCTCCTTGACTCTATCTCTGTAAGGCATATTTGCACCTGTGGAATGGGCACAGAAGTGGACCTGTAACACACACAGAACAGTGGGTTACACAAGGTGTATGTGTGGGAGACCAGTGTGGCCTGGAGTGCAAGCAGCTGTAAAGATGAGTGCAGATCACAGCTTTCCAATGGGTGTTGCAAGAGGCATGGCATACACTGGTCTCCTCTGGGGTCCAAGGAGGCGTTAGGGCTTCCACAGTCATCCTGCCTCCTTTTGTTCCTCTCCCGAGCACAGTGATCCCTCCTCCTCCAGTGAATGTATCCATCACGTCACCCCTTAGCTCACTGACCAGGCCAGACAGATGGAATTCCTTTGAGATGAGGAACAAAGAGGTAACAGAGTATGATTCTGTTGGTTGCAAACGCCTGATGCTCTCAGCTGCAATTAATGAGTGTCTCAGCTTTTCCTCCTTTACAGGGAGGGAAAGATGGTTTCCCTTTACTCTTGCATGTGAATTCTGTTGAAATGGCTCTTAACCATGGCTTCACCACATTATCTGAAGAAAAGATCCCAGAGAAGGAGAGGAATATTTCAGGGTGGTTTCAAAAGGTGGTTGAACTAGGAGAAACCACGTAAAATTTACAAGGAAATTTTCAGATGAATGTCATAAAATAATTGACAGCTCTTAGATTATAGAATGGTCTCCCTTGGGAGAAGATAGAAGCCCCATCGAGAAGCCTAGACGAGGCAAAGCACTGAGAATATACTGTAGCAAGATGGATAAAAATTGATTTAAATTAAATACAGGTTTTTTATTTAAATTAAATACAGGTTTATTTTTTAAAACATAAACCTATTTATAATTTAATTTTGAAATTGGCAACCTATATTAAGGCCTACATTTAAATAAACATTATAAAAATTAAGTAGGACATGTTTCCTGCCAAGTTTTAAAGAAAGTCTGACCACTGAACTGGTAGAAGTCACTGGTTAAACACCTTAAACTCATTTGTTGAAGTGCTAAATCAGCTTTTGACAGCAGTAGTCTCTTCTGCAGCTGCATAGAATATTTTTTTAATGGGTTTATTCAATTAGCTCACTTCAATAACTAAGGTCATTCAAAGTTGAGAAACCAATTTGCAGTTGAAAAAGCAGGAATGCTTGTTTTCTGCTTCCAACCTATAAATAAAAAATAGGTGTGAAATGATGAGATCTACCAGTTCTAAAACCTTGAATGACATGCTGTCCAGTCAATGAATCAGTTCGATTCATTAACTACAGATACTTCCTTTGTTTAATATATCAGTTAGTTTTAAATGCAAAACGTGCTTTGATAAACCATTTTTTCTTATGTATTGAGCACATGTAAGGTTGGTTTATTTAATTACAAAAAATGAGAATGCTGTTCTTGTGCATTTTAATTGAAATTGAATTTCTATCCAAATAGAGCTTGATACAAATCACAAGTAAAAAATATGAATCATCATTTACTAAATAAGAAATGCGCCATTCACCATTTTCTAACAAAATAAAAAATGTAAAAATTAAGAGTCTATAAATGTAAGTGGAGCTATATAATTCCTTAAATGTGCATAGATAATATAGTTTATCCTCCTGGTTAACAAAGAGAGTAAGCAAATTTAGTGTAAAGGCTA